ACAGTGGTTCTCCAACTTGCCTGAACATTGATTAGCAGTACTTGGGAAGCTTCTAAACGCCCAAGGCCAAGGCAGCACCCAGACCAATTAAATCAGAATCTCTGAGGGCAAGACCTGGGCACCAAAGTGTTTTTTGCTTCTGTTGTTTTTGTTTTTTAATCCAAGTAATTCCAACATGTAGTCAAGTTTGAGAACCACTGTTAGGTAACAATCCGCACACATCCATAAAAGCAGTAGATTATAGGAGATTTGCTTTGTATATGCTTCATGTTCAATGTCTTTCATATAAAAGAGTAAAGACAATGTGAGAAGGGAAAGAGGCCATGGGAGAAGAGTGTGCTCAGGATCGGGCAGTATGCCATGGCCTGTTCCAAGAGATCAAGTCCTACCCAACAGGGCACATGCTAAGAAAAAGCAGAGCTGGGGTCTAAACCCAGGCTTTTATCTGGCCAGTAAATTCAGATTCCTTATTAACTAGGTATTCCCACTCCAGCAGAGTTTATAGTTGTGATTCCCACAGTGTTCTAGCAATTCTCTGATCTCAGGAAAAAGATTTAATGGAATGNAAAAAAGACAAAAAAAAAAAAAAAAGAATGCTCACTACAGCATCATCTGAAACAAAATTGGGATTAACCTTTTAAGGGGAATCACTGCTAAATATACTGTGGAATCCACGGACACACCAGTGTCACAGAAAAAGGTTGATCTCATGTACTGACATGGAAAAAAGCACGATGATACGAAAACAAGAGTTATAGACCCCCATGTATACACAATGTCTATGTCCACGTAATCCCATGGAAAAACTGGGAAGGACATACACCACACCATTCAGTTGTAAAAGAGAAGTTTTTGCACATTGATTTTGTATTCTGCAACCTCGCTGAACTTGTTTGTTGGTTCTAATAGTTTTTCAGTAGATTCCTTGGGATTTCTTATGTACAAATAAAGACANAGTGACTAAGCCAATTTGGCTGCAATTACTGTGAAAAGGGCTGCATATAACTGAGCAGGAAGTCGATCATAAAAACAACAGCTTAGGAGCCAAGAGCCCAATGAGTCCAGTCTGGGTTTGGGACTGGTCAGTGAAGCCACATCCACTTTGTGTTCTCAATGAACATTTACACATCCTACAAACAGAGTGTGAACACTTCTCCCCTTATTCCTGTGTTCACCAACAGGAAGAAGTCTGCCCAAGTCACTCCATCTCCAGAGCGCCCAGCACATTAAGTTCCGGCTGAGGGGCTCTTCTCCTTGAAGAGGGTCTTCCAAGGGCAGAGTATCGGAACGGGAAGCCCAGCACTTCGGCCACTGCATTCAGAGAATAACAGCAGGCTGCAGAGCTAAGGCACCTTTCCTGGGAGTTTGGACAGGAAGATCACACACTCAGCGTTCCTTGCAAGACCCCAAGCGTGCCTCTTGGTTTTATCAGATGTGTTTACCTAACTCCTCACCAGGTCACCCTTGCTCATCCTGTCACACATTCAGATATGTGCATGTTGCAATGAGAAGAAACTTCTGTCCACCCGAAGCTCACAATCCAGATGGAAGAATCACTCTCCCTCTCTCTCACACTCACACACACGCCCCTACACCACAAGCAGCCGCGCAGAGAAGCAGGCAATGACAGCCCAGCAAGCCTCTCTTGAAGAGGACCAGAACCTCCTTGGGTTGCAATGGGTGGGGAGGGGGAGATGACATAAACTGGGGTTCTAACGCCTTTGAGGTGGGAGAGGGCGGCAAGTCCCAGAGTAGAGCAGGAACAAATCCTAGTAGACAGACAAAAAACAA